GGATCAAATTCATGTAATACATTTAAATTCTATTCCGAAATCGATTATTGTGTTTCATCTTTTGTTAGATCCACTTTATTGACGACTACGTATAAGCAAACAAGCTTTTTGACAAATTATCTACCTGAGAGATCACTACCACATCCTGAAAACAAGATTCAGGTACAGTTTTGGGGAAAATTCTCTGGGTTCTATCTCTTGAACGGTAAAAGACAGAATTAAATTGCAAACGATGATTTATCAGGGCAGCCATGTAAATGAAACAACAGTATTTTAAGCTTCTTCATTCCCCTTAGAGCTATTACTATATTTTAGGAGATATACCAATTAATAGTTGTATTTCCTATCTCTTCAATTTCTTTCCATTCCAGGAAAACATTGAAATGATCAATGCTAGGGACAGACAAGCCAAAAAATTAGCAGAAGAGCAGAAGAGAACTTCTGGTCAGTATCAATTCAAATATTTCTTCAATTGCTTCTTCTCCATTGCTGTTGATTCACAATATTTTAGAATTAGAGCAGAAACTTCGTGACTTGAATAAGGGCATACAGAGTGTGCAGTTGAAAGCGAGGACTGAGAAGGAGCAGAAGAGCGAACGGGAGGATAGGGTGATCACCCTCACAAACAAGGTGGGGGCGCAAAATATGAATGTTTTAAATTCATTAAATGATGATTTGAAGCACCATGATTGACCACCTTCAGATTCGACAACTAGAGATTCAACTAGCCGATAGAACGGCCAAAAGCGATATTAACTCGGACTTAGTGAAGAAAATGGAGTCAGACGCTCAAAATATGTTGCAAGAGATGAATAAACTAAAACAAAGTGTAAGACATCATTCAGAATACATTCAATGTCTAAACAGATGTATTCTCCAGAACTTGGACCTTGGCCGACAAAATGATGAGCTACGAGCAACATGTAAATCGCTTGATGAGGAACTTGGCCATGTTCGAAATGCACTCGAGAAGAAGACCTCTACATCTAAGCAAGCGATGACTGATCTCTTGAACAACTATAAAGAATCCGAGAAGAATTCGGTAGAAAGAGCTGCTGA